ATTACAGATTACTCCTGTTCACACTGACCTTGAGGCAATCCTCAACTTTCTTTTGTAGAAACTTTGGTATTTCATGACTAGCAACTTCAGAATCAACAGAAAATTATTATTATTGTTTTTTGTTTCAACGAGAAATTGAGCATTGTTAAAAAAGGACTTTGTAATTTCTCAAAGACAGTCTGACCTACTCTCCTCCCAATTCTGTGGGTTTTCCATATTACTTTATATCATACTCTCATGAATAAAACATAATTAATCTACTTGGTTTTTGTTGTTGCTGTTTAGCTGTTTTTCAGTTGTGTCACAGTCTTTGCAAGCCCATTTGAGGTTTTCTTAGCAAAGATACTGGAGTGATTCACCATTTGATACTGTAGTTCATTTTCAAATGAGAAAACTGAGGCAAAGAAAGTTAAGTGACTTGTCCAGGATCACATAGTTAATAAGTGTCTGAGGCTGTATTTCATCTCAGGTCTTCCTGACTCCATGCCCAGTGAACTGAATTTTACTCCTGTGGATAATTAGTCCAAACCTTTGAATGAATTAAAATCCTATCCATATTTTAAACTGTAGTCCACTAACATCTCCTCAATTAATTCTTCTCCGTGTCTCCCAGTCACTAAAGTGCTTTCCCCTTAGATTTCAAAAAAAACAATCTGTTTGCACCTCTTTTATGTCATGCAAGCTGACTGAGAGTAGGAACTATTCTCTTTTGATCTTTATAGCACCAAAGTCTAGAATATTCAACATTCAACATTCAACAAATGCTTGTTAGCTGATTTAATCATTGCTCTTGCAGTACAGTGATTTATAGATGTTACGTATTTTATTTCTAGATTTCACATGCCATAAAGTTAAGTAGTATTTCTTCTTTAATTTCTGTATTTATATCACCATCTATGTTCTCTGCCCATAATAGGTATGGAATGAAGTTTATTTAAACTGTTACTTTTGCACAAAGGCAGCACATCCTTTATGTGCCAGCACTATGCCTAGTACGTAGTAGGGATTTAATTAAAGGTTTTTGGTTCATTCTTGATTTATTGATTGTGGGAGGATAGAAGGCAACAGATATTACATAATATTCTGGCTAAGCAAAAGCCCATTAAATACATTTTACTTGTAAACATTAGTAGCTTGAGGGAGAAGGTAGGGTAAACTAAAATGGACAAATTTGATATTAGTCCTATACTTATAATTGCCTTTTAGTATTCTCTGCAAAACACAAACTAAAATTATATGTAGCAATAAAGCAATTTGAGCAAGAAAAATGGCTCTTTGTATGTTCATTAAATACAATTACCAATGTGAGATTAACCTCAATGAGATTGCAATACATTATTTTATCCATCTTAGAAGATTCTCTTTCCTTCAAGTTCTTCATACATAACATTAAATTTACGAGTATGCTTTGCAGAAGTCATTTCTGATCATTTTTATTTCAGGGAAATTTGAAATAGGGGCAGTAACCCTTTTGGGGTATGGTTAGCAACAGTCTGAGTAAGAATTCAGGTATAAAGTTGACAGTAATAACTTGAATCATTAATTCTAATGAAGAGCATGAATGTTGCTTTGCCTACAATTCTTTTAATTTGTGATGAAAGCCCATCTACTTAATTAAAAAAAATACTATATATGTACAGTAATACTAAACAAATGAAAAAGAATAGATAACATTTTTTTAAAATTTTATTCAATAAATTACAAAAACAATTAAAAAAGAACTTGCCACTGAGTTTAAATCATGAAAGAAACTGAAGCTCACATAAAGGCAATCTAGAAATAGATTAAAAAGAAATGCACTATTTTGACCATTTTTTTCTATTCATTCTCTGTTGTGTGTATAGGTAGGATGTGGGAGGTTAGCTGCTAAGCATATGATTATAGCATACTAGCATTTTGTTGAAGGGAGCTAAAGTATTAAAGAATTTGAAGTTAGGAGGGAGAGTATTCCAGGCCTTAGAGTACAAACTCTCTTTTTACTCTTAATAAGTATACATGTTGATTGATTGCTCTCATTAACGGAAGCTGAAGAAATATTAAATACAGAGTCATGAGATTAGTGTTAATTTGTTAGTGGCTTGTAGTGTGGTATAAGGGATAGAATGCTATATTTGAAATCAGAGGACCTGGGTTCAAATTCTAGCTTTTCTATTTATCTCCTATGTGACCTTAGGCAAAATCACTGTTCTTCTTAGTTGCCTCACATATAAAATAAGACTATCGATGGTCTGTAAGGTTGTTTTCAACTGTGATCGCACGTAAGTAGAGCATACAAGGTATTTAGAGCAAGACAAAATGGATCTTATAAACCACTAAATTATCAACACTGATATTTTAATACACCCTAAAAGTCATGCTACCACCTGTACAGCAAGTACATAAAATGTTTTTTTTAAGATAATGACACTTAAAAATTAATAGAAGAGTACACACTAATTTCTAACAGCTTGTTTATATTTAATATCTAGGGTTGAATAAGGAGGGAGGAGGGGTTAGATTTCAAAGAATCCCTGGCACAGTATTTTTCTGGTAGACATTATGAGAAAGCAACAAGGAGGAGTCTGTGCCATTTTTGTTGGTTTTGTGCTATTAAAGATTTATATTTAGTATATATCCTAACTTTATACAACACAAATGGCAATAAAATTTAGATTTAAAATGGTGTTTTCTGAGACCTAATCCCATAGCCTAGATACCATTTGCTGCAACCATGAATAAGTTGTAATTTAAGGTCAAATTGTAAAACAAAATAATAATACTAATTTTAAAGTGACTTTTCCCCCATAAAAAGCAAAACAGTCAATAACTATAAAATACATGAGACTTGCTGTAATCCTCTTTTCTTGGCCCAAACCATCTTATAATGCAGGCCTATTAATCCACGCTGTATACGACACAAAATGACCCCATATTACACAAATTTTCTTTCTGTCTGTGATAAGTCTTACAATGATGTGCCAGTGCAATAGAGCTAGAAGAGATATGAAAGGCTGTGTAATATTATCTTTAGAGTAAAAGTCTCTTGATGTCTCTCATCATCTTCAGTACTTTGTGGATCCAAATCAGCCCTTTGACCTTTCTCAAAAACAGAAGAAATATGTGACAGTAGGTACTGGCAGAGAGGTAAAATGACTAAATCCCTGCCCTCATAAAGCTTACAATCTAGTTAGCAGTATGACAGGTACAGAAAAGATGAAATGGTTTTTAAGCTCATGATGAAGTTAATTTTCACTGATGCTAAAGGAAATAATGCTTTTTTTTTTACTTTTTCAAGCAAATATTTTGGGCAGTTAGAGTCTGTGTTATTTGAAAGTGTGTTTAGCATTTTAAAAATTAATTTGCAATGTAACAAGGATCATGACACACTATAACATTTCAAAAGTAGATTTAGGATTTCTTTCATTAGCAGTTTTTATGGCTAAGCTCTTTGCCTATTTGAAACGTGCTTCTATTAAACATACACTCACCAACAGAATTGACAGGTTTTTATGCTTTGTATTTCCAACTGACAAGAGACAAGTATTCTTAATCTTTGTGTGTGTGTGTATATCAGTCTGCCTTTGGCAGTTGGGTGAAGCCTATGGATGCTTCTCAGAATATTTTTAATTTTATACATATATATATATGTTGTGTGTGTGTGTATATATATATAATATATATATTTTAAAAGTAAACAGGTTACAAAGTAAACCAATTATATCAAAATAAAGTTACTCTTTAAACAAATTTTACACTTCATATTAAGAACCCCTGATTACTAGAGACTTGGAATGTAGTCCTTGTTCTTGCACTAACTAGTTGTTTGGCCTTGGAAAAGTCTCTTGACTTCTCTCAGCTTTAGTACTTTCATTTGTTTAAAAAAAAGAAAGAAGGAAAGAAAAAATGATAAGGTAGGTTAGTTGATTTCTGTTTCTTTCTAGATCCTTTCTGATTTAAATATCACCTTTTAAAAGCAAACTAATTGTAGCCCAAAACATGCAAAGATGCCTATTTTCCAATGGAACAACACTGACATCCTTTGGCTTCCTCTGGGCTGACTAGTACTTAAAAGACAACATAGCAGGACGTATCTTTACATGTTTATGTATGCACACAAAACCTGTCTCTGCAATGTCAGAGTCAAAAGACTAGTTTTACCATTACTCAGGATAGATTGTGCTGAGTCGAATTTGTTGTATTCTATTCCATCAACAATTGCAGATTAAATCTGCCAAAAGGATTATATCTATAAAATGGAAAACTGCAAACTCGGGGCTCCAAAAGTTCATAAAATGAATATAGTGCAGGCAGAAATCAGCAGAAATAAAGAAAGTAAATCAGGAATGTCTAAGTAAGCCTCAAATACCCTTTGGTAGTGGTAAACAAGGGCTGACTCACACAGTAAAAGGATGAGCAAAGGAGGTGGGGAAGAATGTGAATAGCCACACAAAGGTCTGGAGATTTGAAAAAGAGAAGTCATGAAAGAAAAAAAAACACATAAATAAATCCACAAAAGCATCACTCTGGTTACTTATCAGGACTGGTTGTAATTTAACTTGGCACACTGTTAATACATTTTCTTTCAATGCTTTGGTGTAATAGTCTGGCACCATCACTTATGAGAAGGAAAAATAAATTTCTCCTTTTTTAATTTAAAAATTAAAAAAAATAAAAGAAGTCATTTTCTCCCAATTTTATTACTATGTAGAACAGATTAGATTAGGCTGATTACCTTCGACTTGAACACAGAGAGCCATTCTCTCCTGGGGGGAGGGGAAGTTTGTCACCCAAAGCCCTCCTCTCTTCATGTACCCTCCCACCGCATTCACTTGCAAATCAGTGTGCTTGGAAAAGGCTGCACTTCCCCAGGCTCTAACCTTCCCATGGCAAGTGCTGTAGCTCTATCAGCAGAACCTTTCTCTGCTTGCTCAGTGTGTGTGTGTGTGTGTGTGTGTGTGTGTGTGTGTGCGCGTGTGCGTGTGTGTGTGTCTGTGCGTGCGGCTGTGTGTGTGTGTGTGTATGTGTGTTCCTGGGTATGCGCGTGTGCATGTGTGTGGTGTGAGTGAGGAAGGGCTGGTGGCTTTTTTTCCCCCTGTATTAATCAGAAGCTCTGAATGAAAGCCAATCAGAGAGAGAGCTCCCCCGTTCGCTTCGCTTCCCTGCAGTCCAGAGTTAAAAGTGATGCTGACGAAAAGCTTGAGTTAGATTCAAGTAGAACCGGGCTTAGAAAATTACAGCAGAAAATAAACAAAAAGCGGAGATAGTGGCACAATCTTCGGCGTTATTTGGGTTGGACGCTACTTCCTTCTCCAGAAGGAGAGTCAAAGGTAGGAGCTTTTCACCTCTCACTCGCTTTCTCTCTTTCTTTCTCTTTTTTAAACTTAGAACGCTTTATATTCCTATGCCACGAATCACAGTGCTATTCAAAAAATGATCTTCAACTTTGGTACAATTAAAAGAAGGAAGAGAGGAAACAGCCCGCATGCAGTGACAACAGCAACTGCTTGTGCGCCTTGTCCCTAGAATGACTGTATCATTAAAAACGAGGGGTGATGTTGATTTTACCCCACAGTGGGTTCATTTTATACTTTTCGGTTTCCTGCTAGCTGAGCAGATGTTAGAAAACTGTGATTGATTTTATTTTGATGTGTGCTAATCTATGCTCACCTTGATGTTTCAGGTTTATAAATGACACCTTGCTCTCTCTCTCCTCACGTTACTTTGCATCCCTGTGAATGGATGCCTTCCTACTTAACACTCACTCACGCCCATACTTCTTGGAACATGCAAAAGGTTCAGGATAGAAATGACAGACAGATGACAGAGACATAGATATAACAGATAGGTGGCCAGTGAACATCTACATACATGAACTAGTCTGATGTTCATTAGAATACAGTAGACCCATTTCCTGTATAAACAGTTCTCGTCTAAGTCTGCCAACAGAAGGGAAAAGAAGAGATTAAATACATGTACTCAGCAGTTGCAGCATTTATTGTCACTGCTGCAATAAAATCCATATTTTATGTAGTGTTAAATTAATGCAGCACATTGTAAGTCTGAATGCATGTGCCCAACAAGTAACTATTGATGGCATTGTAAGCTGGGGAAATGGTAATAGGCTAATACTGCTTTTGATGCTAACTGCCACCAGACAAACCTACAAATCTCCTTATCATTAAAAAGGAGCACACACGTGCAATCAGTGACAAACACCAACCAGCATCTTAAAACTGACCTATCATCTTTTGCTTCCACATAAATGGAGCTGTTTCCTATAATCTTCATCTTTCATTCCAGTAAAAGCCTCACCATTATCCCAAACTGCACATCCATTACTTCTGAGATGTTTTGAGATGCATTCTTTTTTCCCCCTCTTTTTCCTCCCTCCTAAAGGATCTATATTAAGAATGATCTGCCTGTCGTAGGCTGACAACAGGCTTTATATTTCTATGTACATGTTACTAGACTTTCCCTTGTACAGGGAAAAAAATCTAGCTTTAAGATCATTTTCTTGGTGAATAACACTAAGCATGAGTATGTTCTCTCACCCCCACCCCACCCCTACCTCACTGGTATGGTGATGATTTTTAATAAATAGAACTTTCACAATCATCTCACACTCCTTGAATGAATCGGCATTTCAATTTTTGGTTAAAATAATAAAGAAGAAAGGAAAATAAGGTACATACTGGAAAAGAAAGAAAGAAAGCCTAAAGCCTAGGGAGTTATAAAGATAAGTCTTACTTCCTCCCTCCCCCTTTTACCCTCCAACCAAGTACTAAAAGCAGTTCATATATATTCAGTATGCTGAGCATGGGAGATAAATAGTTTTTGGAACAGACATAAGCTGCTAATCCTGTTTGTGCCTTGGGAATCCTTCAAATTTAACCTACCCTGATTTTTTTTTTAATGTGAAAGAAGTCTGTTTATGTAGCAATGTGTATTGTTAGATTTCACTTGAGAGAACAGGTTTTGGTATGTTTCTAAGCGTGAGAATGAATTCATGCTTTCATTAAATGTGAACCTCTTTTTGCATGAAGTACATTGTGATATTTAACTGACTTCACTGGCACATGTGCCCTTAGTTTAAGTTTGCATTCATAGTTTCAAATATTTGGCCTCATAGTACAGTAAAGGTGCATGAATATAACATGTACGCACATATATGGCAGTTATTCATTCTGGTTAATAACATGTGACTGCTATTAGTTTTATATTTACACATTTTACAAAGCCTAGCAGTTGACTGACAAGAAGGATTCTATATAATCTCAGCTTGATACTTCTTAGGTCCTTATTAGCTGCCTAGATACTTTCTCTAAACAATAAAAGTGGGGGGCTGTGAATTACAATTTGTGAGATATCCAGAGTCGTTCATTCCTGAGGAACTAAAAATTTGTCTGAGCATTGATGTTTTGGAAATCTGCTTTCCTCTGGTTTGATGTTACTTCATCTTCTTTTTTTTCATCTTTCTTCTTAAATAACACCACAGAGAGTGAAAAGGTTAATTCTAAACAAATGCCAACCTTTTCCAAATTCTCAGGAGTTATTTCCTGATCTTAATATGATTTCCATGGAAAACAAATGACTGAGGCTGAGTGAGTCTCATCTGGGTGATTTTTGTGCAGATGACTTATTTCCTATGTTGCTAAACCAGATTTGCAGCCGAAGGGGAAGGCAGGTGATAATATGCTGGCCTCCTAGAATATCTAATTTTTACACCTGATTGTGCCACTAGGTGGCAGCACAGGGTGAGCTTTGGTCTAATACTGCTGATTCAGCAGCAATGGGAAGCAGATTTCCATTAAGTGTTATTACTGGTAATAGTGATGCATAATAAGCAATTAATTATATTCAGAAACTATAAGCTCAAGCACTGAGAGTAGTTCTCAGCCTCCTAATTAGTAGTCATAACACATTTCTACGGATCAAATAATATTCTAATTCTGGCCACTTGGCATCAAGGTTATTTGTGAGATAAAGAAAAAAGAACAGTTGTGAAAATAATTACTAATAGCTATATACCAGTTTTCTCAAAGATACACTTTCAAATTTTACATGCATGAGAAAACATATCTTTAAATTATAACTCAAGTTTGAAAAAGAAAACAACAGCTTACTAAAGTTCATTATGTACAGCATTCATGCTTTAAATGGACTTCCAAAATCAAATAGCATGAAAGATGACCTCATTCATTTTAACCAAGATATCTGAGCAGTGGTAAGATTGATCAAGCATTTTAATAAGCGTTCATCATATATAATCCTATCCAGCATACTTGCTGAAGGAGAAATGCACCATATAAAGAATGATATTATAAATTCTTAGTTCACAAAAATGGAGATTATCACAGAAAAATATATTTCCTCATTTGAATCCTCATTGATCTTATTTAAAAAATAATTTCATTTATCACACCTTAGAACACTCTTTAGGAATATGAATTATGCAGATATAAAATATGGACAGTTATAATAGAAGCATTAAGCAAATATGTCCCTTTCTTCCTTTTTGATGAAACATTGATTTTATCTGTGTTGGATTATGTCATAAGACTCCTTCCTCTACTTATACTGCCCTTCCCCCAATCCACACATTCTGCCAGCAAGTTACAGTGGAAGGCCTATAATACCTCAAAATTTGCAGAAAACTTTTGTTACTCACTAAAAATGCGACAGGCGTTGGGGAGAGCCTCTGTAATCTCCGTAGCCTTAAAAAGAAAAAATGAAACCAAAAAGTTTGCTCCTGTCAGACGTCACTAACAACCAGGGGTTGTGTCTTCTACATTCCTCAGTCACTACCTTTCAATAACCTTACTCTTCTGGGAGACATAAGTAGTACCCCTTTCAATTATGCTTTTCTCTTGGAAAGGTCTTAGAAAGGACATGTGGCCAGTATATACTTTTAGTATTTCTTCTGGCTCACTTCTAAGTACAGCAACTAAAAAAATGGAAAAAAATAATAAATTCCAAACTTTAAAGTTATAGGACCTGATTGTTGCCAAGGGAATATATCATCACTTCAGCATATCATTTTTAACCAAGTCATGCAATTAGCCTTAAATGTATCAGCTAGAGCTGTTTGCATGCTTCCCCACTGCTAGGCTAGACAACATTTTATTATGAATGTAGGCTTCTCCCTAAAATGCATTGCTTAAATATTTTTCAAGAAGAGGGATATTTTACTTTAATATTGTTCTTCATACTTACATTCTCTTCTCTACTTGACCTTGATGTGATTGCTAACTCCTTTCTTCAACCTAGAAACTTTAAAAAAAATATTAAACATAAAACTAATCTACTAATCAGAAAAAAAGGCATAATATAATATAGACAGACATTGGTAACCTGGTCCTTAAGCTTACACAGTTCTGGGATACACTCCCTTTTAAAATAATGCATGCCAATGCTTTCAAAATAATGACTACTTATTGATATGATGCCATGGAAGAACATCATAGTACTAGAGAAGCATAGGTGGGAAGGACAAACCTTCAGTAATTCTGTTAACAGCACCATAATACACCATTTCTTGAATAGTTATACTCATGCTTTAATTTTATTAATTCTTACTTTTTCACAAAATAGAATTCATTTCAGATATTTTATTCTACATAGTACATAAATCCCAATTAACATTAAAAGGTGCATCAGGATTTTAGAAAAGTATAAACAGTAAGTCAGAAGGCAAGCACCTCAAACCAGAAAATTCAGCAGTAAAAGAAATGTCCAAACAGTCACAGTACTGTGCTGATGTTCCTAAGGCTAATTCTACTCTCTTCTTGGTTTTCATGACAGCACAACTCCCTGACTGAAATACTTTCCTGTGTGAAGTTTTATTGTATTACCCAATATGTAATTATGCTTTTTGTAAATCTTCTGATTTTATTGCCTGTGTTCCATCATCTGCCACATTATAGATTGAGTTTATCACATTATCCTATCTCAGCGCTTTGCATTATCACATAAAAACATAACACATCCCTTAGTTTAGTTTGATAGAATCAAGTTATTTAAAATGAAAGCATTCCTTGTATATATTATAACCCCTAGGCTTTTAAGGAATAAAGGGTAGGCATCAATTCAATTTTCTGTCCTTATAAAGTGCTAGCAATATAACATTTATTAACAACATGACTTTTTAAAAATCAACATAGTGCAGAATGCATATAAATGAGATATTGTCTTCAGGTGTTAGAGTGAACATTAAGAAGTAGCAAGAAATGAATGTTTACTTACTCTAACAAAGTGAACACTGAAGTAGCTGTGACACAGTACTAATTTTAAAAATAAATAAGACAAATCATTCTCCAGTTTCCTGGAA